AAATGATAAAATAATTTTACATGAAGAAATAAGTCCATATCATAAAAAATTGTTATTAAGAAGCTTAAAACAAAAACGTAGTGACGATATAAAACATTTATTATGTGAAGATGTTCAAACAGGGTACTTATTAGAAGTTGCTTATAACAAAATTAAAAGTAATGGTAAATGATAGTGTTGAGACATTTGGTCTTGTTGACACAAGTAAAATAAATACATTATTAGTAGAATTGAAGAGAAGACGTGAAGAAGATGATTTGATTAATGGGATAACTAATAATACAAAAAGACATGAAGTAATAAAAGCATATGATATATAAAAAAAAAGAGAAAAAAAAGAAATAAAAGGAAATTTATTTAATTTTTTAAATAAAGCGAGTGATTTGAGATAAGCTGAAAACGAGGACGTTGTAGATACAGATGATATAATGGATGATGGCGATACTTTAAATATAGATGGTGGGGGTACTCCCTTTAAAACACCAATAATAACGAGGGGTTCAAAAGCACAACATCAAAAATTAATTTCAATATTTTTCAATAATCATGGTATCATCAAAAAAGATTTGAAAATAAATGGGAAGAAATTTAATTTTACCTATTTTGATTTAGTAAATTATTTAATATCTAATACAAAAACATTAAATCTCAAAAAACATGAATTAAGATCTATTTCACCTGTGTTGAAAAGAAAAGGAATGCAAATCTCATAGATTAAAAATAATAAAATCATGGAGATGTATTTAAATTCTAATGCAAAAAATACAACTGGTAAAAGACGAAGTTTACAAATACCTATTGTTGTAATTTACCATTCTCTGGCTTTATTTAACTTTAAAACACAACTTAAAATACTACAAAACAGTAATATGGCGGATTATATATATATATATGAGTACCGCTAGTCTGAAGTACCGCAAATAGTGGCACAGAGAGACCAATACCAATAAAACAATAATACAACATTCTCCGTACCTTAAACAGAACTGATAATAACACTTATGAGTTCAAAGTTTAGAGTTTATTCGTCTTCAAAACCATAACGGGTTGGTCGTTTTACGACACGCACTGAGCGCCTCAGAGGGTATGTTGCTGTCCCAATTCAGTTGAAATACTCTCCTTCTCAACTGCCCTATGCTCAGCCGGAACATGTGTCTGGTCCTTTCCCTCTACAATAGGCGGCATGGTGGCAGGGATGGTGTGATTATGAGCTCTAGGCCATGGTGCCAGATCTCTCAGTGATACCGTTGATTCTCTGCCGTCCAAATGTTTAATATGGGCATAAGTAGGGCTAGCTTCCTTCAACTCTACCTGGTCAACAAGTGGATCATTCTTGCTTGTTCTAACATACCGGCGGAGCAGAACCGGTCCGGGGACTGTAACCAGGTGAGAAGTGAAGTACCATGTGTCCAACGGCGTTGGAAGCCAAAAAACCTCTCCTGTGGAGTTGAGTTGGTGACAGTGGAGAGAAGAGACCTTGCTGAATAAAGCACGTCAGGGAGTACAATTTCCCATTTATTGTCCGGCAGGCTTGCTGACTTGAGAGATAAGCGAATAGCTTTCCACACTATACCGTTATAGCGTTCTACTTGGCCATTGCCTAACGGGTGGTAGGATGTAGTTCGGCTCGTGGCAATGCCTCTCTGAGAGAAGTATTCTTTAAGTTCCTGGACATGAATGAGGCAACTCGGTCTGAATGGATGAAGCCTGGCGTCCTACACAGAGTGAATAACTGATCCAAGCATCTGATAACGTTTGATGAACTCATGTTTGGGAAGGCGAAAGCGAAAGGGAAGCGTGAATACTCATCCACGACTGTTAGCATATAGGGATTATAACTAGTCGTAGGTAGTGGACCTTTAAAGTCCACGCTGAGTCGCTCCATAGGTCGGGTAGCCTTGATGAGTACTCTTTGTAGTGGTTTGTAAAATTGGGGCTTGAGCTCAGCACAGACCCTATAACTAGAACACACCTTCTTAACTTCTTCTGTAGAGTAAGGGAGGTTTTTCGATCTGATGAAATGTAACAATCGAGTGACACCTGGGTGCCATTGAGCAGCGTGTAGCTCAGTAAGGCTAGCTGCAGGTATGGAAGCTGTAAAAGCCCGGGTAAATGAGTCGGGAGCAGCGTTATCCTTACCGGGCCGGTATTTTATGGTGTAGCTAAAAGAGGCTAGTTCTAGCCTCCATTCCTGGATTTTATTGTTCTTTACTTTGGTGCGTCTTCGGTTGTCAAACATAAAGGCGGCTGACTGCTGATCGGTTTTGAGTGTAAAATGTCTGCCTGCAAGAAAATGTTGCCACTTCCTAACAGCTTCAATTATGGCCACTGCTTCCTTCTCTACTGCAGGATAGTGGAACTCATTCCCTTGGAGGGTCTTAAACATAAACGCTACCGGGCTGCCTCTTTGGTTTAGTGTAGCAGACAGGGCAGCTTCTGAAGCATCAGTCTCTACAACGAAGGGGAAGCTCTCGTCAATAGAGTGTAATGATGCTTTCTGCAGCTCCTCCTTCAGCATTGTGAATGCATTCAGGGCATCGCCATCAAGTGGAAATGAGGTTGCTTGTAGTAGCGGCTGTACTTTGTCAGAATAGTTTGGTGTCCATTTTGCGTAGTATGCAAACATACCGATAACTCTTTTCAAGGATTTGGAATTTTCGGGAGGAGGGAAGCTTTTAAGTGGACGAAGCCTTTCCTGATCTGGGGCGATGACACCATTCCCTATACAGTAGCCAAGTAGATTGATAGAAGACTTGGACTCTACTGTCTTGTTTTCATTCAGAGTGAGGTTTCGGCGCTTTACAGCTTCTCTGAATTTCCTCACATTTTCGTCATGCCCGAACTGATCGTAGCCTGCAACAGTTATAGTATCAAGGTAAGGAAATGTATCTTTCAGGCCCTCCTCTTCTACGAACTTGTCCATCACTCTTTGGAAAACTGCGACGCCGTTGGTTACTCCAAAGGGGAGTGCGACAGAACTGGTAAAGCTTACCATTGGCCTCAAAATCGGTAAATTTTCGGTCGGCTTTCTTGATCGGTACCTGGTGATAGGCACTCCTTAAGTCGAGCGTTAAGAAGACTCTATATGAAGCTAGGTTGTTGACCATGTTGTCGATACGGGGTAACGGGTATGCATCGAGCTCCGTGTAGAGGTTGACGGTTTGAGAATAATCAATGCAAAGCCGCTTCTTGTGTCGTTTTAGTGGGTCCTTTGATACGATGACTTGAGCCCTCCAGGGCGAGGTGCTATGTTCGATTATGCCTTCAACGAGTAGGTGGTTAATTTCTTGTTTGATAAATTCCTGGTCCTCCCAGCTGAATTTCCGCGACTTGCTTGCGATAGGCTTACATTGGGGGAGGAGGTTCGCGAAGAGGGATGGTTCCTCAATAGATGCTGCTGCAAGAACACATACAGGTACCCCGTTGGGTACTTCAAGTTCGGGCTTTTCCCCACCAAACTCAATGACAACACTTTTATGTTCCCTTCGAAAGTCCTGGCAAAGAATGATATCACTACAGAGATCCTTCAGTACCCCTAGATGTACAGATGAATAACACTGGTGGCCTAGTTTGATGTCAACAAAGCAATGGCCAAGAACTTTGGCTTTAAGTGATGTGAGAGCCATAGACAAACTGTCATCTGACTTGAGTAATTTGAGGTTGAGCTGGTTAGCTACCTTGTCGTTGATGTAGCTATCTGAACTCCCAGAGTCAACAAGGGCAGTAAGAACAGTACTGTTGACACTGACTTTGGTGGATGAGGCTTGCATAAGGCTCTTCGGACAGGCGGCACTTATGGAGCAGAGTGAGGCAGATCTTATTGATGCTGTAGTCTTAGTCCCTTTTACAGCCTGAGACTGGCAAACTTTATCGTAATGGCCAGTTTTACCACAATTGTTGCAGACACAACTGCGTGCAGGGCACTCCTTTCTATTGTGAATAGGGCCGCCACAGAAATAACACTTTCTTTGGGGTTTGACTGCTGCTGACACATGGTTATCACTTGGTAAAGGATACTCACCCCCACTTTCAGTAGAAATAGAAGCTGCCGAGTTTTCGGTTGGAGCATAGGCTTCAGAGTTTTTCTGGGCTAAGTCTAACGCGTTGGCCTGATCAAACGCCGTCTTCAATTCGAGTTGCCTGTTCTCCAGAAGTCGTTGGCGGATTAGTGGTGATAGAAGACCTTTAATAAATGAGTAACGGACTAATTCCTCCCGATATTGTTCTGCAGTCATACTTCTGACGTTACAATCCTTGCTTAACTTTTTAACTTCCTGTAGGAACTCTGTAAGCGACTCACCAGGCTTTTGGCGCCTTGTACCAAGTAGATGACGTGCAAATATTTCATTCGGAGGCTTGATATACAGATTGTTTAGTGCTTCAATAGACGAGTCGAAGTCCTGACAATCTTCGATGTAATCGTAAACGTTATGAGAGACATAATTGATGAGAGTACGGTGTTTGTTTGGGGCTTTATCGCCGCATTCTTGAATGAAGTTGTTGAACGTTCGGAGCCAATGTTTCCACTCTTTCGCGGCTGACGGCAAATTTGGATCCAAGTCGAGACGTTGCGGTTTCAATATCGTTTCCATATTGAAGAATTTAAATAAAGTGAAATAAATAAATAAAGTGAAATAAAGTGAAATAATTTTCGTCATTTGAAAAAGATTTAAAATAAATTAAATCTTCTACAGTTGGCTTAATTTCAGAATTTTCATTTTTGATGGTGCTTTTTTCAATTTTAATAAATAACTGCATACAATATGCAACGGGTATAACAATGGGTGTCCAGGATATTCCTTCAATAAAATGGCAAATACTTGAATAGGTAAAAAATCTATATCATTGAACTATAAAAATACATTTTATAATAACCGTTAATTCTTTAGAGCTTATGTAACGGGAAAAATCCACAAAAAAGGGTATCAATATAATCATTTTTTTTTCACTATGTTACCTGCAAAAACATACTAATAAGAACAATAAAAAATAAAAACCCATTTAAAAATGAAACAATTGATATTTGATAGCATATTTATTTATATACATTGCATAGTTAGAGTTAATATCAACTCTGGGTTTATATTGATTATAATAAAAGTTACAACTATGTCCACCAATATGTCCAACACGACTAAAAATATATACATTATGATCTAAAACAGCACATGACTTTTGATATAACTTCTTTCCATTAATCAATTTCCAAAAAATTACTAATAAAAAAGTGTCATAGTCATACTCTTCATCTAATTCTTCAATATCATTGTCATATTCTTCTTCTTATTCTTCTTCAATATCATCATCACCATCTTTTTTTAAATGCATATAAACTTTATTCAACAATCCGTTGGGGCTTAATAAAGTACAAGCCATATTTCCTTTTTGCAATATTTTTAATAAAAATTTGTCATTAATTTGAAAATAATCTTTTCTTTGTATCTTTCACGAATAAAATGAAAAAAATCAGCGTCAATATAATCCAGAATTAATTTTGCTAAGGTTAACTTAAGCCTTACAAGATAATTGCACTTTTGACAGTTCTGAAATTTACTTTTGCAGAGTTCTTTACATATGCTCATAACTCTATTTTTTTTGAAATAAACCATAACTGTTTCTTAGCAAAAAATTAACATAAAAATCTCTTGTACTTTTTAAAAACCCGTAGCCTGATTTTTTGGAGTGTGCAAATAAAAATATTTAACACTTTATCAATTTCTTTAATATCATAAAAGTTCTTTTCATATTGTCTAACTTTTATCATAAATTGTTTTTGCATCCATACTAAAAATTCTGCGGGTAATTGATATACGTCTTTACAATAAAATTTATAATAAATTCCCACCCTCCAAAAAATTTTTATCAGTATGATACAAATACTCTTTCAAATGACCCATATCGTGTGATGATCTATAATTTTTTACATGACATAAGTTGCAATCATTTTTCTAACATATTTAAAATCATACTTTGTATATAAGATACAAAAGTATTAATTTCTTACCTTTATTTCAAACAGTCTTTAGAATAGTATTTGGAAGAGTCTCCAATAAACAGACTTTAGCGTAAGTGGAGAAGCGTTAATGAAATTGTGATATTAAAAAAATAGCTCGTAAATAAAAGGAAATAGTATTAAATTCTTTCCTTAATTTCAAACAACGCATATTTTTTGGAATAGTATTTTGGAAGAGTCGCCAATAAACATATTTCAGCGTAACTAGAGAAACGTTAATGAAATTGTGATATTAAAAAATTAGCTCGTAAATAAAAGCAACTAATACTAAATTCTTACCTGTACAAGTTTTTCCTCAACAAATAGCGATTGGTCAACGATTTCCAACAAGATTCATTCCAACCAATTTCCTTTTCAACAAAATAACTTCAACAGAGCTTAAGCAACTTTGATGAAATTGTGATATTTACGCGTTCTTAAATACTCTCGTTACAACAAACTACCCTTTGTTTCCGTTTCACGTTGAACGTTAGTATCTACATCTCAATACACAGTGCCTTGGTTTGCTAGTTGCCCTTGAACATTCGAGAACACAAACAAAGCCCATTTACTGTCATCATATCAATTAAATATCAATTAAACATTTTTGACTGGTACAATCTGAGACTGACTTTAACAGAGTCAAAAATGAGCGTTTTGTATTAAAGTAAGATACAAAAATTGTTTTCACCTCTTTAATGTATTTAATAATCAAAGCGATTTGTGCTATGACAAAAATCACAAGTTTTAATACACAGAATCACACCTAAATTCAAAACAGAATTGCATAAACTCGAGAGAATACTAATAATATCTCAAACAAAATCCGTTTGCTGTCATCACATCTATTAAGCAATTATCTTCAATACCTGTGATTGGTACAATCTGACACTGACTTCAACAAAATCAAAAATTTGTATTTTGCATTAAACAAAGATGCAAAAAATTGTTTTCACCCCTTTAATGTGTTTAATAATCAAAGCGATTTGTGTTATGACAAAAATCGCATGTTTTAATACATAGAATCACACCTAAATTCAAAACAGAATTGCATAAACTTGAGAACACTAATAATATCTCAAACAAAATCCGTTTGCTGTCATCACATTTATTAAACAATTATCTTCCATTGCTGTCATCACATTTATTAAGCTATTATCTTCAACAAATTTTAAATATAAGATTTGTATTAAATTTAGTAAAATTCTAACATTTACTGTATAACTTTGCATTCTTTTTGCAATTCTTTGATTTGTTTGATATCATCTTTACACATCAGAAAATATTGATGAACTTGAGATTGGTCGTAATTTTGATTTTTTAATTCAACGCGCATGTGGGTATCGATGCGATGTTCACATTTAGCCACCTTATCATTTATTATATTGTAGAGAAATTTACAGTTTGGCGTTGAATTCATTGCGATACTCGAGTTACAACACACACCTTAACCTTCAACTACTAACAATCAATGTATTTTGTATTGTGACAAAAAACCGCAAGTTTTAATACATAGAAACAATTTTTTTTTATTAATAAATTCAAAACAGAAATGTGTAAATTTTAGACAACACTAATAATATCTCAAAAAAACCCGTTTGCTGTCATCATATCCATTAAACAATTATCTTCAATTATCTTATAGGTGATGATGGAATCTGATACTACTAACTAACAAAATTGAAAATATAAGTGTTATTAAAAAAACTAGATGGAAAAATTTTTTATTTCACAACGTTAATGCATTGAATACTCAATGCAGTTTGTGTTATAACAAAAATCGCAAGTTTTAACATATGCAAAACAAGTAAATGCAAAAACAGTATGTTTATGAGGTCACAAGGTTATGTTTGCGCAAAAAATATTATCTATAAAATTCAAGTATCTATTTCATCTCGTTCACTTGCAACACATACATCGCGAAAGCAGTGAGAAACAAACGGTGAAATCAAACAAAGAAAATGGGAAAATGCCAAAAAGAAAGAATATTACGATACAGAAGACATCAAGCAAAAGTTAAACAACAGAATAAAAAAAAATTAAAATATACAATCACGTAACAAAAGAAGTTTGCGATGAAATGATAGACTTCATTGAAAAAGAAACAATTAAATTTGAAGAAGCCACCAAATCAAGAAAAAGACAATTGGAACACGAAATGAAATTAAATGAACTAAAGAAAAAAAAAGAAGAAGAAAAAGGAAAATATAATTAGAAAATGAAAAGATTATTTAGAATTTATTTTTTTATATGTAAATATATCAGAAGATGAAAAACAACTGCATGTTAATCATTTAAACAAAATTTTCGATGAATTATATTAAATTTTATATGAACTATATTTCACTTTGTCTATCATCGTTTTTTGTTATCACACTCACTTCACTCACTTTGAAGTTCTTCATCCAACTTAGCTTGTGCTAATATTAACTTTACTTGAGTATTTTCTTTTATTTTTTCATATTCAGTTAAAGAACTGCTTAAACAATTGCATTCATCTTGTAAACCTTGAATTTCTTTTGAATATTCATTAGTTTTTGCTTCATTTCGCGCTTGCTTCTCTTTCAATTCTTCTAATTCACTCTGCACGTCAAGTATTTGTTTTGTTAACTCGCGAATTTTTTATAATTTTCGCTAAGTTCGATGTTTACATCATCATCATCATCTATATAATAAAATTTTCTTTTGAGCCAATTTAATGTGTTTGGACTTAAATTTTCTGATGTATTTGCACTAGAATTGTCTGATGTGTTTGCAGTTGATCCTTGTGATTCCTTTTTATAAAACTTAACAAATATATGACAAGTTAGTTCTTCAATGCATACAATTTCAAACAACGAGTCTTTTATATATAGGCAATAAATAATTTTTCTGCAAAAAAATAAATTTCTTACAAATTTTGTATTAGAAACCAAAAATAAATCTAAGCATGCAAATAAAGAGCGTTGAAGGTTATCATGCATATAATCACCATTTATAGTAATAAAAACATGTAGTAATTATTCATTGACGTCAAAAAAATGCAAAGCATCCTAATTAGTAACTTCTAGACACTCAGTAATGCCAATCAAATTAAAAAGTCAAGGTTATATTCTAAATTTAACCAAAAAATAGTATCAGATTGTACCAAGTACAACCAAGGGTATGTAGCAAGTTCAACCAAGGGTATGTAGCAAGTTCAACCAAGGGTAATCATACTATAAATAGATGAAATGAAAGGAAATATAATTTTTATATAAAAATCGAGTAGTATATAAGAGCGTACTCGTTAAAAATTTCTTTATTATAAAGAAAAAATGGCATCAAACGTGTCATATGAAAATGTTTTACCCTATTTGAAAGATAGAAGAAACAAAAATCGTTTTGTCCATTTTATAAAGAGAAATAAATGAAAAGAAAAAAATTTAAAAACAAATGAAAATCAAGAAGAAAATCAATTTCAAGAGAATAATGAATATGTTTCTCTACAAACACCAATACCAAATTGGACAAATACTGAGACAAATACCGAGACAAATTCTGAGACAAGCTTCATCGAAAATCAAAATCGTGCATCATCATCATCAGATTCTCCACAACCAATGGATGAAGATACAGCAGAAAGAAGTGATGGTAAAACTCGTTTGAAAACTTATCATGATAATATTCAAAAATCATCTCCTTTATCCATAATTAATAATGTATATTCATCAAAAAATTCTCCTACTAAAAAAAATACAACTCTTATGAATATCATGTCTCCAATCTCAACTACAAGTATGATGTCACCAAGCACGATTTCTTTCTTAAATTACGATATCCCCACACCGCGCACTATTTTAAGAGAACTTGAAGACGTTGAATTTAGTCAAGATCGGGGGTTTACAACTCCTCCTAATAATAATAATGTTGTGAATCAAAATCAAGGAAATACATCTCCTCCTCCTGAACAAATGAACCAAGATCAAGAATTTGCAACTTCTAATAATACTGTGAATCAAGATCAAGTATTTGCGCATCTTAATCTAATATTTACAAGTCTTCCTCATAATGTTAATGAATGGTTGAAGAACACAACAACGAAATCGCTAAAAATCCTGAATACTCTTGTCTCTTGTAATATGTTATTTTTAAGCACTGAACAAAATTGTGTTAACAGGCAGTTTTATTCACTTATAAAGGGAAATATCATATGTAAAAATGAGGAAGAAGCAAATTTTTTAATTTATCTATTTGAGAGAAAGAAAAAATTACTTGATCAATTAAAAGAACTCAACCAAAAATGTCTTAAAATTCCCTTATATATATCAATTTGTAAATACTTCATATAATACTTCATATAATAAAAAAATTCATGTTTTTGTATTTTATTGAGGATAGTATCAGATTGTACCAGACACGGCTCTTAAAGATGCTCGTTTAATTGATGGGAAGAGAGTTGGTGTTAATAAATCAACTCTACATATCGGACAACTAGAAAATCCATTTAATAATAATTGTCTCAAACAATCAAAATGTAATTTGTCTCCACATTTTAACATTCCAAATCCAATTAATGTATCTTCCAAACATATCATACATTGATCGTGTACACTATCTTTTTTGTATATATGATATTGATTTTTTCCTTTTTCCTTTTTGAAGCACATTGCACAAGTATCAAAACGAAATGATCTATGTAAGTCAATTCTACAAATACCACATTTTACACAATGATAAGGATCTTTCGAATAATCATCGTAAACATTACATTCGCCACAAAAATAGTCAGCCAACTTTTTCTTACACTTGATACAGTGCTGTTGAAATCCTTGCTCAAATCCGCAATAATTACACATTATCCAGGAAATTTCTTTTGGATTTACTTTTTTATTGCAAAAATTATCTTTATTATGACAATGATGACATTGGTAAAATCTTTCACAACATTTAAAATAAAAAGAACAATTTTTTTAGAGTGTATACAAGTTGTAAACATACATTGATACTTGTCGAGACGACGGACTTGTAAACGGACATTGATACTTTATCGAGACGACGGACTTGCCATTTCAAACACCACACCACGAGAAACAGAGAACATGCCGCATCTTCAACAACAATGGACTACGCATGACTATTGAAGCAAAGAAAAAAATAATTGACTTCCTTGACATCACCTTCAATCTTAACAATTTTTCATATCGACCTTACACAAAACCCAACACTTCTCTGCAATACGTCCACAGCGAAAGCAACCATCCACCAACCATAACGAAGAACATACCCGTTGCCATCAACAAACGTCTATCATCCCTATCATCCGACAAAGCATCATTTGACCAAATAACTGCACCATACCAAAAATCACTCGACGAAAACAGATACCGATACACATTAAAATTCGACTCAGACGCTACTGCCAAACGGAAAAACTGACTTCGACAAAATATACTTTGGTACAACCCTCCATTTAGCAAAAACGTCTACACGAGCATTGGCCACAAATTCCTTTCATTAATCGACAAACACTTCCCCATAGACCATAAACTCAG